TGACTTTTTTTCAATTAGAATCGTGTTCGAAACTAATGTTCGAAGTGGAAGACCATAAACAAAGAGTTTGCAGTTCATTTATCCTAAGGGTAAAAACTTATTTATATAAGTGAACACCATAATTGTTGTTTGTATTTAAATTTTAAAAATAACATTATGTTTTATTCATCATTTCGAGTATAATAAGAAAACAAACTCATTTGAATGTGGTTACTATGTCATGTATTAGGTGAGAGCCATAATTTGTGTGAGTATAATTGATTATTGGATGGATGTAATTGCTTTTAATATTAGTTAAGTTTATTTAACTTTATGCGTATTGCATGTTTACAAGAGTCAAATTAATATTTCAGGTATTTTAAGATTCATCTCCATTACCAGAATATGATATCACACAAATTAGAGAACAATGAACAAGATTTTTCGTTCAATAATTCTAGTACTTAGTTTGTAAGTTATTATTGGTATTATATTGTGTGTGTTATGTAGTTTAGGTAGCTTAATTTATACTAACTTTTAGTTTATAATAACTTTTAGTTTGTAGGTTATTATTTGTATTATATTTTTTTATTATGTAGTTTAGGTAGTTTTTGTATTATCATGGTGTATTAATTTAACTTTTGTAGTTTGAATTATATATAATATTATATTTTTTATTTACTAGCTAAAGAAACTTGAACCCCTGAATTATCTGGTTATAATATATGTTTGCAGGTTTTGGCTGTAAGACAAAATAAACCCAATATTAAAAAAAAAAGTAAATTTATGTTGTGTATTGATATATGCGACGTAAATTCGTCCAATTTTTTTAATTTTCAAAGCCTTTTACGTTTGTTTAGTGGTATATGCAACGAAAATTAACGTTGAATGTTAAGGTTCCAACATAAAACCAATTGGCAATATGTGGAGTAGCCTAACATGTATTTAAACCGTACCAAATGAAATGAGGTAGGCGATGTGGGACTTTCAACACACCCCCTCCAACGAAGCCTGCCGGACCAGGCAAAGGGTACTTTTGACCCAACTAAAGGGCAACTTTTGGCCCATGACAATAATCGGAAAGATGTTAGGCTTTGGCTCTGATACCATGTTAAGGTTCCAACATAAAACCAATTGGCAATATGTGGAGTAGCCTAACATGTATTTAAACCGTACCAAATGATATGAGGTAGGCGATGTGGGACTTTCAACATTGAATATTGATAACTGATGTGAATTTATATGAAATATAAAAAGTCCAAAATACATGATGCAAAATATACATTCTGCACTAGTTATAAAATAAGTTATAAAATTTGGTTGTTTTTGTAGAATTTACTCTTAGTCACCTCCTCTTAGCTTTTTTGGAAGGAGAGAAGATATTGGATCACTCTAACTCACCTTAGGATGATCCATGAAGAAGAGCTAAAGGCAAGTTTCTAGAAGGGCATGAGGCACTAAGGTCTCCCTTTTTAGGGTTGACACTCTTCTAGAAGAGATATTAGACATCACTTACGCTCCCTTTTAGGGTTGTCTCTTTTTCCTAACCTAGTTTTTAGAAGAGCATCTAGGTAGAATATGCTTAGAAAATTTTCCTAGATCCCTAACCCATGCTTATAAAAGGAAATCATTCCCCCTTTTTATTTTTGGTTGGAATATACATATTTTAATAAACAAAATGTTTTATCGGGAGTTTTATGTTTAGGAGGATCATTCATTCATTATTTTTCATTTCTTTACTTTTACTTAATCATTTCTCTCTTTGAATTGCTTAGAAGTGAACCTTTACACTTAGATCATTTTTAGGATTATCTTCGTATCTAGTGGAAGTTTTCCTCTATTTTGCATTATCACAAACACCTTACTTGTTAAAGATTAAAATCAACACTCTATCACTTGAAGTTTCTCTTATCACTTGAAGTTTCTCTTAGGTTTGGAACTTTCAAAATGTCAAACATGAATATTCATGTGTAAAGACATTACATTTTATCTATTATTGATCGCGGTATGCTAGCTTGTAAGCCTTCTATTGTTCATGTGAAAGCTAATTTAAAATTACAACTAATTTTGAGACTCCACTTCGCTAATCCAAAGATGAACAAACTTATTGGAAAACTTTTGTACTTAATTATTTAAAGACTCGATACTATACACAAATTAAGTCAATTTGTATCTAATCCTCGTCCTAAATACTTGAATGTGGCTCACATTCTTCTAAGATACTTAAAGAACACTTTTGGTTAAAATATTTTATTCAAATCGAACACTTTTATTTAAAATATCTTATTCAAATCAAACTTTGACACTAAATTTTATGCCTACGTTGATGTTGATTGGGCTCATGCATTGACAGCACAAGACCCATAACTTGTTTAAAAAATAATTTAATTTTCTAGAAAGTTAAGAGACAAAAGATAGTTAATAAATCTTGAGCTGAAGTTGAATACGTATTCTTAACATATGTGTCAACTAAACATGGTTAAGAAATTTGTTAAATGGGCCTGTCCACCCCCTTTTGTTCCGCTCCGTCTCTAGCTCGCCGTAGTTAGGATAAGTTATTGACTCCATCTGTCAATATTTTTTTTTATATAAAGATATTTATATATATATTTTTAAAATGTATATTTAATTATATGAATAATTTTTAAGTTTTTATTTATTAATATATTTATTAGATAAATTTTAAAAAATTATTATATTTATGTATTAAAATAACTAACTATAATTAATAATTTAAATTTAATTAATTAATTTTTATAATTTAAATTGTAATATTATAATATATTTAGATATCTTAATAATATAATAAAAAATATAATATTTTTAATTATAATTATTTTTATTTTAATTTTAATATATAAATATTATTTTAAAGCGGATCGACTCATCCCGCATCGTCTTTGACTCGCCAAATTGGTGGATTAAACGAGACATACCAAAATGGACTGGTGGGATAAAACCATTAACTCGTCCCGCCACTTTTTAGGTGGACTAGCAGACCGACTCGTCGGACCTAACACATTTTGTCATTCCTAGTATTTATTATAATAATAAAATATCTATTCATTTTGGTATCAACCTATTATGAAATAACCAAATATCTCGAAATGGATCTAGACTATATTCAAGAGCAAGTTGGTAAAGGAGCTCTCGAGCTTTTTCATATTAGGAAACACTATCACTCTAGAGATATAAGCTTGTGTTTCAAATTAAGAGTAGATTTGAAAGAGTGAAATAAGAAGAGAAAGAAAATAGAAAATGATGTTATTTAAATTGAGAGAAAGAGAATAAAATATTTAGAGAAATAAGTAGAAATATTATAGAAAATAAACTTAATTTCATGGATGAAAAATACTATTTTAATATTTTAACACAAAATAATATTTAAAAAAAATTAAGACGTAATCAAGAATATTTAGACGTTGTTTCATGTTTTCTCTTTTTTCGTTGATGGAAGAGAAGAAAAAAAAAGTTAAACTTTTAATTTTTTTCTCCTCGGTTTTTAGTCATTGGCCTAGATGCAAATATATTCTAAATCTTTACTTAGAAAATATCTTGTTGAAACTAGGTAAAACATCTTCTTTCCATCTTTAATGAGTATTGGGTTTATTTTATTTTGTTAAAGTTTATTATTTTTGTTTTCATGCATATAAATTTTACCCATCTTTCCTGCGTTATACAATTTTTTCCAATCAATAATATTGATATTTTATTCTCCAAGCGTTTCCATTATTTTTCTCCTTTCTTTATAATTTCCTCCCTTTTCCTCATGTTCTAATAATATAGTATGATGAGGTACATGCCTTTTCAAAGAGTAATTAATACTCACACGACAGATAATGAATCATGTATATTTTTTATTTGGACATTATTACTCTAATATTATCATAAGTTTATACACTAATTTATTTCAGTGGTAGTGCAGGTCTTCTTTTCGTCTTCCTTTGGTCAAACAACTCAATTTCGTCTCTATTGATTATTATAAAAGGATTTTTACTTTTATTTTGAATTTTTCTTTTCAAAAACTTATTTAGACATATTATATGAATATTAGTTAATTTATAAACGGAGATTTAGCATTTTATTTTTTTTGTAATATAATTTACATATTGAAAGATAACTAATATCTTTTAGTGTATAATATGTAGATTTTTCATCCGTACATGCCAAAAGCATATAATTACTTGTTGATTTAATGCTTTTCAGTAAATCCTGCATTCTAATTTGGTCTTAAATATTTTCTCCAAAACATTATTTTCCTCCTATTTCTATTAATTACGACCTAAAATTATATTGGTTACTGTTTAAAATTAGTTAATCACCTTAGGCCTAAAAAAACAATTATACTGGTTAAAGTACTATTTTTTAATCCTTTATCTATCTATTTTTTAAAATTTGATAATTTTTTTCTTAACTGATGATTAATCATTTCTCATCTAAAAAAGTTATATTGATTAAACTCAAATTTATTTAACTGAAAATGTTCTTGCATCAGCTTCTGATGTAAGAGAAAATTCGTTCTTGTATCAACGAACCGTGTATGACATTATAAATTCAAGCGGTTTCTTGTAAGTAGATATATAAAGTTACATAAAATCAATCAACCTAGTTATCATATATATCCTTTTAATTATGCGATATTATGATAAAGATATATTATAATTAAAAAAATGATTAATTTTTATGATACCTGATGGAACATTGGACCTAACAAATTATAATCATTAACTTAATTAAGATCCACGCTTGGGAACGTCGTCCCTCACATTTCTCTTCTGTAACTGGGCCATACTTAATTAATATCCATACATTAACTTTTTTTTTTTCTGTCTTTTCGCCTTTTTCTGTTTTTTTTTTTCAAGGAATTTGTACACCTCGTTGAATAATAATTTAAGTAACTTATACAGTTCTCTGTTGGAATACATAAGAATGATCCTTGTCCCAAAAATTTAAATTGAACATTAGAATAGACCTGAAACCCCACACTCAGCCATCATATCCTCCAACTAAGAAGATAATTACTATGCAACATGGGCCAATAAAGCTAAACCACTTGCTCCAGACCCTTTTGTGCTTGTATGAACGCTAGTTGGTCCTCTATGTTCTGGAGAAGTCGCAAAATAGTGATTTTGTAACTGAAACATGGTTTAGTAATGACTGCTAATAGTAAGATTTTGGACATGTCATCTACTTGTCAAGAGAGAGATAATTTCATTGTCAACGCAGCCGGACTCTGATGCAAGCTTAACAGGAGTGTTGCCTTCTTTGTCTGTGACATATGTATTGGCTCCCCTGTAAATGTGGCAAACTATGTCAATTTTTCGGAAGTTAACCAAACTTATCAATATTGAATACAAGTTATCTGAGATATTATATGAAGAAAATTTCCATGAAACTAAAGTGTAAAATTGAAATGCAATATTTGTCATGGTACAAGCACCACATGGTCAAGCATATATAAATGAGATTTTAATCTCATCAACTCAATATGAAGTCTGAGTTACTGTTGTACGGTTATGGTGTAGATTACCAAAGGAAGAAAGGTCAATAGTATAATAAATTCCTGAAATCATAATTTTATATTAAAAAGACTTAGTTATTTTAGTTTATGAAAATAGAAAAACATTTCAACACAGTCCTTTCTGGTCCCCTCCCCCAAGCAAAATAAAAAGTGGTGCAACTTTTTCTGTGAACATAATCATCACTCAACGAACTATGTTTACAATGAGAAAATATGCAGATCATATAGAAAAGGTAGTTTGTGAGCGTTTAAATTATATTTTATAGCTCATATCTGTCTCCAATGTACAGAAACGATGAAAATAAGTGTTAAACTTATGTATCACATTAACGAGTATCAACTTTATTTGTATGGTAATGGAAGAATATATTGATAGATATTCAAAGTAGCTTAAATATGATAACAGTCTTATACTATATCAATTTTATTATTGTGATTTCCATTTTTTTTCTTTCAGTTTATATAATATGAAATTTTATTTTTTTGATTTCGTATTATTAGTATCATCTGTAAAAGATGATGTCATAAATAATTGATGACAAAATATATTAATGATAAGTTCAAAAGAATAAAATATAAAATATTATATACAAGGACTAAACAAAAAAACCAGACTAAAATATATTCAAGCCTTTTGAAAAATAACATTGTTTCAATCCTTTTGTCCTAACTATTGTTAAGAATTGTGCTTATATGAAAAACAACGGTATGTCATGAAAAACCCCCGCAATCCTTTTGACAAGTACTTTTGTACTTTTACTTTACATTCTTATACCGAAACACCACAATCATGTCTTAGATAAAAGAGAAAAAAAAAATTAGAAATGAGGTTTTTTATTTTAATCAACCCATTGAAAACAGAAACAGTATTGTTCAGAGGTTGATAATTGAATGGCAACTATTTCAACTAACACAACAAACAAGAGAAGATTTTAGAATGTAAGAGAAAAAAAGGAAATAAGTGTTTTTTTCTACCGTATTATTATTCTCTAATATCCTCCTCAAACTCAAGGTCTATCAGAAAAATCCTTCAAATTAAGGTTCTTTAAGGAAGTCAAATCTGTGTGGAGAGAGGCTTAATGAGCATATTTGCCCATTGCTCCATAGTTGGGATGTGATAATCAAGAGCTACTTGATTATATCATATTGAAAAATAGGATTGTGAACAATAACTACTGCACTCTGATTATCATAAACTACGATAGGGGTAGTAAAAAGAATCTAAAGTTCTTTTAACAAAGCTTGAATCCATGTTAACCAACTGAGATCTGAGCTATACTATGATATTCAACTTCAGTGTTGGATTTGTCTGTAGCCTATTGTTTACTTAACCACAAAGAGATCAAGTTAGGTCAGAAGAAGATGGCAAAACCAGAGGCGGAATCACACATAGCAGTAATTAAAGGTTGGCTAACACCAACTGATTTCATGTGAAGGCTATGAGAGTGTGCCCTTAAGATACCTGAGAATTCTCTTGATAGCCACCCAGTGAGAGTCTAAGGAATTTGCCATGAATTGACATACTTAGTAACGACAAAACTTATTTCAGGTCTAGTGTGACTAAAATGCTGCAAGGCACCAACTACAAATATGTAAAGAGTTGGATCCTAAATAAATCACCAACAATTTTAGACAATTTGCATGTAGAGGGCATAGGAGACAATAGAATGAGCTTCAGCCATACTAGTCCTATGTAGGAGATCTCTTGCTGATTCATAAAAGGGGATTTACCAGGTAGTTGCTTGATCTCAATACCCAAAAAAAATACTCCAAACGACCTAGCTGTTTTAGCGAAAAAGTGGAATTAAGATGTGCAGTAATTTGTTGAATTAGTTACGGTGAGCTGGTGATGATAATATCATCCGAATACATAAGAATAAAAACAATGTGAGTTTGAGTCTTGTATATGAACAAAGATGGATCACATTTACTATGAAATCCAAATTGAATAAAGGTGAGTTTTAGTCTATCAAACTATTTTTGGGGGGCTTGTTTTAGGCTATGAAGAATCTTGTTGAGTTTGCAAACAAGAGATCTTTGTTCATTGAAAATCACATCCTTAGAAATGTAAATTCTTCCTGAAGCAGACAGACATTGATATTGATAACAGTTATGAGAGGGTGAGTATCCTACAAAAACACATTCTTGGGATCTGAAATCAAGTTTATGAGTAGTATAGGGTCTTAAGAAAGGAAAACAAGCACAACGAAAGGTTCGTTAAAAAATGTAATTTGGTGTTTTATTGAACAAGATAGTAAAAGGGATGCCAAAATTCAATATTGTTGGTAATCTATTAATTAAAAAAATCGAAGCTGTAAAGCTCAAGTCCCAGACGCTAAGAGGCCAGGATACATGATGAAGAAGAGTAAAACTAATGTCAACAATACGTCGATGTTTCCTTTCCACCACACCATTTTAATGGTGTATGATGACATGTTAATATGTGGGTGATGACATGAATCTGAAGAGGATTCAACCAAGTGTTAGAAGCTCTGGTGGTGTTGGATTGAGAAGTGGTAAACGACACGGTTGTAGTGTTGTAATATTAGAGAACAAGAGAGTCATTAGGTTTATAATTTGCATCAGCTCTGTAAAAACAAATGATGGCAGTGCGACCATGTTTCAATCAGATCTGACATCGAAAGTTCATAAAACGTCATCCACGACCTCTACCAAAACCACCACCACGACAACCATCATAAGCATAGTTGGTTTGGATGAGTTGGGGAGCGCATACCCTTGAGTGTAGTAGTGAGGGAGAGAATTATTGTTTGCAAAACCTGTTGGCTCGAGATTCATGCACAAGAAGCAAAGTCTCAACTTCAGCAAGGAGTTTCAAACCAACTTCGATAGCAGAAACAACTGAAGTATAATCTAAAGGAACACAAAACTCCTTGATTCACTTGATCCCCCAAGAAATGAAAACAAGTTTTAATATGATTGCTTTTACCATAACATGTTGGATGTTTAGCTAAATTAATGGCAGATTTGTTATCTACCATAAACCTCGTCCTTGATTTCAAATTAAACTTCAATTCAATCATCAATTTCTCCAATCATGCTGCCTGACATGCTGCTTTAGACGCAACTATATATTCTGCTTCGCAAGATGAAAAAGCAACTACAGGCTCTTTTGTAGAACTCCAGCTGATTGAAGTTCCTTTAACAAAGAAAATGTAGCCAGTTATGCTTTTTCTATCATCTTTATCACCACACCAATCTGAGTCGGAAAAACCAACCAGCTTCATATATTCATGGTCAGTGTTCCTGGGAAACAGAATTCCAAACTCAGTTGTTCCATGTAAATCCCTCAAGATCCTTTTTGCAGCAGTCATATGTGAATGCTTGGGTTCTTGCATGAACATACTAATTAGCCCAAAACTGTGATTTAAGTCAGGTTTGGTATGACACAAATACCTCAAGCTTCCAACCATCTTTCTATAGACTGTGGGATCAACTGGTTCTTCAACAGTATTTTGCTCAAGATGCAGACCAACTTCTAAGGGTGTGCCTGTAGGATTACTATGTAGCATGTTAAATCTTTTGAGCAAATCAGACGCGTATTTGGTCTGATGCATAACCATTCCAAAGTTGGTTTGCACAAACTCAATACCCAAGAAGTAACTCAACCTCCCAAGGTCACTCATTTCGAACTCAGATATCTTCTGAGATTTGAACTGATTTATCAATTCTTCACTACTTCCTGTCACGAGTAAGTCATCTATATACAAGCAAATTATTAACTTTTCTTCTAGCTTGTTGTGCATCACAATCTTGACATAAACTCCAAACTCAGATATGCACTTCAGGAAGCCTACTTGACACATGAATTCGTCTATTCTCTTATTCCAAGCTCTTGGAGCTTGCTTTAGGCCATACAAGGCCTTATTGAGTTTGTACACCTTGTGCTCATGCTTCTCCTTCTCGAATCCCTGAGGCTGCAGAACGTATACATCTTCCTGAAGAAATCCATTTAAAAATGCTGATTTTACATCAAGCTGATGCATGCTCCAACCTTCTCTATTTGCTATTGACACCACTAAACAAATTGTCTCAATGCGTGCCACTGGAGCAAAAACTTCTCCATAATCCACCCCTTCTCGTTGTAAGTATCCCTTTGCAACCAAGCGAGCTTTGTGTCTCACTATCTCACCTTTTGGATTTACTTTTGTCTTGTAAACCCACTTCAACTCAATTGGTTTCTTATCAACTAGCATATTAACTAGGTGTTGTTCTTATCTATTGATTTGATTTCTTCCTCCATAGCAATCCACCTACTTTTGTCTATCTTTGCTTCTTCAAACGTGAGAGGTTTAGCCTCCGCAACAAGAGCAAAATACATCAAATTGCCTTGTGTGGAGACCAAAGACTCATGTCCAAGATCATAATCCTGGAGATGTGTCGGTGGCTTCCTGAGATGAGATGAACGCCTTATCACCTCCTCCTGATCACTACATTCATCCTCATTTGATCCTGACTCATCAACAAGTAACATTTTTTATTGTGCTTTATCGGGCACAAGCTACTCCCAGCTCCATTCAACTGTTTCATCAATAACAACATCTCTACTTATACTCACTTGCCTAGACTTTGGATAAAAAAGCTTGTAACCTCCAGTTGAATGATACCCTACTAGCACCTGTGATATACCTTTATCATCCAACTTCTGCCTCTGCTGATCAAGTACACGTTTCCAACATAAAGACCCGAAAATTTTGAGATGTGTTATGCTTGGTTTTACACCTGTCCAAGCTTCCTCAGGTGTCAACTTCTTCAATCTCTTAGTGGGACTCCTACTCATCACATAGGAGGTAGTGCTGACAACTTCACCCCATAAGTATTGAGGCAGATTTTTGCATAATAGGATGCACCGTACCATGTTCATCAAACTTCTATTTTTCCTTTCAGCACAACCATTGTGTTGGGGTGTATAAGGTGGTGTGACTTGATGTTCCAACCCTTCCTACTCGCAGAATTTCATGAAGTCACTAGGGACATACTCTCCACCTCCATCCGTTCGTAACACCTTTAGCCTCATTTCACTCTGCTTCTCAACAATTCTCTTGAACTTTCGAAAAACATAAAACACCTCATTTTTTCTTTTGATAGGATAAACTCAAGTTTTCCTTGTGGCATCATCAATGAAAGTACAAAAGTACTTGTTACCTCCAGGTATCTCAACTTGAATGGGACCACATACGTCAAAATAAACAAGTCCCTACTTCTCACTAGTTTTCACAGACACTACACTGCTAAAACTCAAACAAGTTTGCTTGCATGTCACACATTCCCTGCATACCTCTTCTGGAATGTTGATCTCAGGAAGTCCAGAAACAACTTGATTGTTTCCTAGCTGATGTAAATCTCTGAAGTTTAAATGACAAAATCACTGATGCCACACCCATTCGATTTTTTCCTTTGATGCAGAGAAACACTGATGTTTCAGCGTCTTCATTCCAACCTAAAAAATCCGATTTTGTGACAACTTGGCTTGTATCACAACCCTCTTGTTCTGATCAAATACACTCAAACAGTTATCCACCATCGTCATTGTGAAACCTTTCTCAAGGAGCTGTCCAAAACTCATCAAATTGGTCTTCAAACCAGGCACATACAACATGTTCTCCACCACAATTTCTCTTCCATCAAGATAATACAACTCTTCCAACTCCTTCTGCTGTCAGGCTGCTATTATCAGCAAACCTGATTTTTCCATGTGTTGATGGTTCTTGCATATTCACAAACCAATCCTTTTTCCCGGTCATGAGTTGAGCATCCTGAATCAAGATACCAGGAAGATTCGTCATTGCCAATTGCATCAGTTTGAGCCATCAACGATACAGGTTCAGAATCGGACGTTTCTTCTTCTTCAGCAATATGTGCTCGACTCTTCTTGCCCTTCACTCCATCACCATTTGGGCATTCACGAGCAAAGTGCTCCATCTGCTGGCACTTATAACACCTCATCTTTCCTTTATCAAACTTCCACTCTTTCTCTTCATTTCCAGATGAAGATTCTGCCTGATTATCTTCCCTGAATTTACCTGTTGATTTTAGCTTCCCTTTACCAGTCACAAATTTTTTGTCTGTCTTCTGGCCAAATCTTTTACTCTTATCTTTATAGCCAGTTCTTGCTTGAAGGGCCAATTCTTTAACTCTCTTTCTATCATTAATTCTGCACTTGTGAGCTTCAAACGAATGCTGTAGGTCTTCTAAATCCATTGAATCAAGATCACACGTTTCTTTAATTGTAACCACCAAGTGATCAAATTGATCAAGTAGAGTTCTCAATATTTTGTCAACCACTGATTGATCTGTGATAGAATCCTTGCATGCCCGCATGGCATTAACAAGTTCCTGAACTTTGTCAAAATATTCTGCAACAGACTCATTTTCCTCAATCATTAGAAGTTCAAAATTTCTTCTCAGTGTATGCAGTCTCACCTTCTTATTCTTGTCGTCATCTCCATATGTCTTGACAAAAATCTCCTATGCTTCCCTGGCAGTAGTTGCCCTTGATATCTTGTTAAAGATTATCGAGTTTACACACTGATACAACAGAAACTTGGCCTTACTATCAAGTTTTTTTATTCTTGTAATTCTTTCTTTCTTCTTCAATAACCTTCTTCCTAGGATCTTCAACACCACTTATTATCACATCTGAGACATCTTGAAATCCGAACATGGCCTTCATCTTGATGCGCTAATCATCAAACATCTTCCCATCGAAATCGGGTAGAGCCACTTGGATGATATTACTATTTCTAGCCATCCTCGTTTCCTCTAATTCAAAAATCTTCGCAGGATCTTTAAACTATGCTTAATTCCCAATGCACACAATCTTGGAGAATCAAGATGGTCTGCAACACACTATACAACCCTTTTGATTCTATCACCACTCCTTCACAGATCACTATACACGGTTCTGGCTCTAAATACAATAAAGGAACACAAAACTCGTACAGAGAGTTTAACAAAAATGTATTTTAAGAAGAATGATATTACACAACAGTACCACTGGCAGATAGCCAATATTTGGCTTACTTCCTAACATAATCATGTGATAGGCCTTCCAGAATTGCATCAACATGGTCACTAAATGATACCGGATTCCCACTCCAGCTAGTTCGTTAACAATGTTCTTGAACTGAGACAAGAATTCGCACATATTTTCCCGTCAAGAGAGATAGTATGAAGATCGGTGCGAAGTTGTTGAGCGCACGCCTACATTGGTATATGACGGAACATGAATTTTGTCCTATACTTGATACGATTGAATTGAGCCAATGACTTAAGAGAGAACATATTTCGTTACCATTGATTGGTGTTAAGTAAATCCTGAACTTCCCAAACTTCACACGCGAATTGACCTTATCAGTGTCACGATCTTATTCAGTGAGGTATCAAGGAGGAATTATGGGTTAACAACGAACTTTTGAAGCACGTGCGACTTTACGACAGGTTCGATTTGCTACGGCGAAAGGAGATACTTCGAGTCATCGAGTTTCTCGATGACAGAGGTGTGAAAAGAGTGAGGCGTGGAAGAGATGAGATTCAAGAGTGCCATAGGAGGAGAAAAAAACCAAGGAATGTCAAGATACATTCACTGGACCCAGCGGCTCATGATATACCATAGTTAGATAAATGTAAAAAGATAAGAACTGTGAAGAAAAAATCGTACATTCAACCTTTATATATATATATATATATATATATATATATAAAGCTTTTCTTAGGATACAATTGTACAAAGTGTATGAGCGCGGATGAGTGTGGATTTCAATTCGGCCAAAATTCCACGGCCAGGTCAAATCTGATTTGGTCAGTCCGTCCTAGGTATCCGATATTAAGATATATTTACTTCACAAAAATATAAAATACGTATTTAAAAATATATAAGAATTCATAAAATATAATAAATGTAAAATTATAATCATATAAAATCGAAGTTTTAAATTATAATTTTTTGATAATATAAAAATATAAAAAAAAATTATTGCTATTTTATAAAATATTTTATATTATTTATTTATAAAAAACACTATATAACTCATTTTTTTAATAATTTATAAAAAACAAATTTTTTATTCATAAAAAATATTTATATATTTCTATTTTGAAATATATATATATATATATATATATATATATATATATATATATATATATCTTAACTTTTATTGAATATAAATATAAATAATTTAACAACGTAAACATTAACCCATATATTGGCAAAGTAAATATTATATATAAAATAAATACAAATATTTATACTTTATATACGAAGTATCGATTAAATCCCATTCGTTAATACGATAAATAAAAAAAATGAAGAGAAAGATTAATTATTGACTTTTTTTTAAATTATATATATATATTAAAATTAAATTAAAATAAATTATAATTTTAAGTATATAATATATTATATATTATTATTTAAATAATAAATATATAAAAAATATTTTAATGTATAAAAATAGTTATTTTTTAATTTATTAAATACAATTTATTAAATAAATTTAAAACAAGTATTTTAAAAAATTAAAAACTTTTTATAAAAGAAAAGTTAATGAGTGGGCATGTTAGTGTATTCTTTAATTAAAGAGACTATGATTTGTATTTTATGATGAAAGATATAGTGTTTATATATATATATATATATATATATATATATATATATATATATATATATATATATATATATATATATATATATATATAGATATGATAGAGTGGAGTGGAGCATTCCACTTATTATAAATCTCCTTTTAACTCTCTTAATATGGTATAAGAGCATATTAGTCCTGCTTTGCCTTCCGGCTATCATCCGACCATTATTTGGTCACCGTCCGTCACTATCCGACCACCGTCCGATCACTTTTCAGCAACCTTTCGACAACCGTCAGTCCCCATCCAATTATTTTTTTTTTGCTGCCGTTCGACGACTTTCTGACTACCTTTCAGTGACCTTCCAACCTCCGTTCCACTACAGTTGTCCGCTATTGCCATTCGTGTAAGGTGAAAATTGATACTTCCCCTCTCTATCTAATTCTATCTTGGTTGTTCTCCTTCTTACAGGTTCCATTTTTTCCATCTTATAACTACATTATTTAAAACATGTCGTTAGGGCCCACAACCTCCTTTTCTAGAACTCCCACTATAACGACTGAGAAATTAAATGAAAAAAATTACATGTCTTGGTCCTCTTCAGTAGAACTTTGGTTCCTTGGACAAGAGTTTCACGATCATTTAGAAGAAGACGGAAGTAAGTTACTAGAAGATCAGACTCAACAATGGAAAAAGCTTGATTATCAACTTTGTGCTCTATTATGACAATCAGTAGAACCAAATATTTTGAACACTCTCAGATCCTTCAAAACATGTAACTCTTTCTGGAAAAAGGTTCAGAATATCTTCGCAAATGATATCCAACGCCTTTATGATTCCGCTAATCAGTTAGTCTCTCTCAAGAAAGTGGTTTAGATAAACTATCAGCTAGAGCCATCAAATGTGTCTTCATGGGATATTCTCGTCTTCAAAAAAGATATCGATGTTATTCTCTTGAAACCAAGAGGTATTATATGTCTGTTAATGTCACTTTTTTTGAATCAACTTCTTTCTTCCCTTCTTCTATGAAGGATATTAGTTTGGTCCAAAATGTCCTACCTATACCCTTAGTGGAGTCATTTGTACCTCCTCCTCCTGACACCGAAAATTCCACACAAAATACACCGGAATTCTTATCACTGCCTCTTATTACCTATCAACACAGGAGCTAAATAATCAGTCCCATGTCTCAAGATGAGTCTTCCTCAATAGATTCTTCTCAATCATCCCCTGATACCATGATTCCTGATAATGATAACTCAAGTTAGTCCATTATCATTCGCAAAGGTACTCGCTCTACTCGTAATCCACATCCCATTTACAATTTTCTTAGTTATTATAGATTGTCTCCTTCCTATTTCTCTTTTGTTTTTTCTGTATCCACTATTACTATTCCAAAAAATGTGAAAGAGACACTTGATCATCCTGGATGACGACAAACCATGATTGATGAAATGCATGCTCTTGAGCACAATGGTACATGGAACTTAATTCCTCTTTCACTTGGGAAAAAGATTGTTGGTTGTCATTGGGTCTATGCCATTAAAGTTGGACCAAAAAGTGAAGTTGATCAACTCAAAGTTAGATTAGTAGCAAAAGGTTACACTCAGATCTATGACCTTGACTACAGTGATACTTTTTCTCCTGTGGTCAAAATGACTATTGTTCGACTTTTCTTTGCTATGACAACTATCCGTCATTGGCCCCTTCATCAGTTAGGTATTAAAAATGCGTTCTTGCATGGTGATCTTGAGGAGAAAATTTAAATGGAGCAACCTCCTGATTTTGTTGCTCAGGGGGAGTCTAGTTTGATTTGTAAGTTACATCGTTCTCTTTATAATCTCAAACAATCTCCGCGTGCTTGGTTTGAAAAGTTTAGTCACATTGTTCAAAGTTTTGGACTAAAACGAAGTGAAACAGATCATTTTGTTTTTTATTATATTGCTTCAGGAAAATGTGTTTATTTAATTGTATATGTAGATGATATAGTCATTACAGGGGATGATGTTGATAAAATTTCTCTACTAAAGAAACATTTATGCAATCACTTCCAAATTAAGGATTTTGGTTGTTTCAAATACTTTCTAGGGATTGAAGTGACTCAATAAAAAGAAGGCATCGTAGTCTCCCAAAAAAGTATGTTTTAAATATCCTAAAAGAAACATGCATGATTGATTATTTACCAGTAAACAACCCTATGGATCCAAATAAAAAATTAATGGCGGATCAGGGTGAACCGCTCTCTGATCTTGAGAGATATAAAAGACTTGTTGAAAAATTCATTTATCTCACCATTACCAGACCTGACCTATCTTTTGCTGTTGGAGTTGTCAATCAGTTTATGCAAAATCCGCGTACTGATCATTGGAATGTTGTCGTTCACATCCTAAAATATCTCAAAAAGGCTTCAGGACAAGATTTGTTGTATGAAGATAAAGGGGGTTCCTAAATATCTGGGTATTATGATACTGATTGGGCTGGATCCCTATGAATAGACGCTTCACTACAGGATATTATGTTCTCATTGGAGACAATATTATTTCTTTAAAAAGCAAGAAACAAAATGTAATGGTCTGGTCTAGTGTTGAAGCTGAATATAGAACAATGACATCTCTCACTTGTGAACTAGTGTGGGTGAAACAATTCCTTCAAGAACTGAAATTTTGTGAGATCCAACAGATGAAGATGTATTGTGACAATCAAACAGCTCTCCACATTGCCTCTAATTTGGTGTTTCATGAAAGGACCAAACATTTAGAACTTGATTGTCATTTTATTCGTGAAAAATTGTTGTCTAAAGAAATTTGCACTGAATTTGTTGAATCCAATGATCAACTTATAGATGTGTTGAAAAAGTCTTTAAGAGGACCTCAAATTGAATTTATTTTTTCTAAGTTTGACACATACAATTTGTATGCTCTAGCTTAAGAGGAAGTGTTAAAATTATTATTAGTTAGTGGTTAATAGTTGGTAGTTGGTACTTGATAGTTGTTATAAATGCTATATATATATATATATATATGATCAAAGAGTAAAGTGAAGCATTTCACTGAATTATAAATTTTCTTTTAACTCTCTTAACATAAAGCAAAGATTAGTAGCATGTCAAAACATATGAAATATGTGGGAAATCAAATAGTATTTTAAGAAAGAATAAATTAGGAAATTTGTAATCTATACAAATTTGATTAATTAGGAACAATTACATAAATCAAGGGATCCTAGAATAAAATAGAGTTATTATATTTCCTAAAATAACTTAGGTCTCTTGTATATATATTGTATGATCTCTTTGTATTAAAATAAGAAAATAAGATTTTATTTAATCTAATTTTCCAGATGGTATAAGAGCTTCCGATCTAGGAAGTTCTGTTTGCGCGCTATAAACCCTAAGACGACAACCTGTATTGCTGCTGCATTTTTTCTTAACCCTACGACGACAGCCTGCATTGCTGCTGCATTTTTCTTAATCCTAAGATGACAACCTGCATTGCTATTGCATTTTTTCTTAACCCTAAGACGGTAGCCTGCATTGCTGCTGCATTTTTCTTAATTCTAAGA